GTCATGTAGAGGAAGTCAAGGCAGCTTTGTATCAGCAGCCACATCACGTCCACGGTGAGGACAGAGGAGCGAATGCGCTAATATCCAGCTCTCAGTGAGGAGAGAGGAGTGCATGCATGCTAATATCCCTTCATCTTACACAGTTCCAGGGCCTCCTGCCTGTGGTGGTATATTATTTATGCTTTATTAAAGCTTGCCTGTGGATTCAGAAAGCAAAGTTAGTCACAAGCCATAGAAGCCAGGCACATACCTTTTAATCCCAGCAGTCAGAAGCTAGGAAGTGGTGGTACACACCTTTATTCCCAGGACTCAGGATTCAAGAGGTAGACAGATTTCTGTGAGTTCAATGCCACCCAGATCTACACAAGATTGATGCAGTCCTAAAGAGAAACAGCTGGGTGTTGGTGGCACATGCCTTTAATCCCAGCACTACAGAGTGAGTTCCAGGACAACCTCCAAAGCAATACAGAGAAACCCTGTCTTGAAAAACAAAAGAGAAACAGCTCACAAAAAGATGACCTCAGCACCTAGGATCAGAGGCTTTTAATCCCAGCATTAGGGAGGTATATAAGACAGGAGCAGGGTCTCAGTCTCAGGATTCATTCTCCAGCCACATTGAAGATAGGAAGACATTGAATTCTCAGGATTCTCCAGCCACACTGAGGAGAGGCAGCTGTCAGAGGTTTGGTGGAGCCAGGATCGCCTTTCAATCTGAGGTAGAGTGAGAGCTAGTGCTGGTTGCTTTGTTTTTCTGATCTTCAGCTTGAAGCTTGAAGCTTGAACCTCAATATCGGTCTCCGAGTCTTTTATTTTTCTTGCTACACCTGCCCAGGGAATGGTGCAACCAAAATGGGTTTTCCCAAACTGATTTCAACCAATGTAATCCAAATAGCCCCTCATATGCATGCCCAAAGGTTCATCTGCCAAGTGGTTTCAAAGTAAAAATTGCCACGGTGGTGGTTGGAAAGACATAGGACTCTGAGTTACTTCTCTAAGTCCATGTCTGCCTGCACTATGTCCCGCCCTGATGAGACTGGACTGAACCACCCACAATTAAATGTTGTCCTTTCTAAGAGTTGCTGTGGTCATGGTGTCTCTTCACAGCAACAGAAACTCAAAGACACTAACCATGATGTGGGTCAAATCTCCACAAATTGAAATGCATTAAAACCATACAGAAGGAGGCAGAGGCAGGCGGATCTCTATGAGTTCAAGGCCAGCCTGGTCTCCAGAGCGAGTGCCAGGATAGGCTCCAAAGCTACACAGAGAAACCCTGTCTCGGAAAAAAAACCAAAAACCAAAACAAAAAAACAAAAACAAAACCATACAGAATATATTCTTTAACCACAATAGAATCAAACTAGAAACCAATGACAAAACAATAATGGGAAAATGTCTGAACCTTTCAAAGCTAAACAACGCATGTCTAAATAGTTCACTGGTCAACAAGAAGCCTCAGAGAATTTGTTTATTATTGTGTGCACTCATATGCTTGTGTATGTGTGCCAGTATACACAAGCCACAGTGCACATATAGAGGCCAGCAGACAACTTTCAGTACTACCTTTATGTCAGGGTGTTTTTTTTGTTTCTGCTTAAGCTTTGTAAATTTCCACAAATTTGTAGGGATTTTCCTGTCTCCACCTCCCATCTTGCCATAGAAGTGCTGGGAATACAGATGCACAGCATCGCACCACATCTAATTTTGTTTTGTGTGTGTGGTACTATATGGTTACTTGAAAACTTTAAGTTACTGAACCACAGGAGAATCTTTTTTTTTTTTTTTTCCAAGACAGGGTTTCTCTATGTAGCCCTGGCAGTCCTGGAACTCACTCTGTAGATTAGACAGGCCTCAAACTCACAGAGATCCGCGTGCCTCTGCTTCCTGAGTGCTGGGATCAAAGATGTGTGCCACCATGTCTGGCTTGAGAATCTTTTTATTATTGATTTATTTTTTGAGATTATACTATAATTATATCATTTCGCCCTTCCCTTTCCTCCCTCTAACCATCCCAAGAAGCCACCTGCCATTCCACCCCCTTCAAATTCATGGCCTTTTTTTCTTTAATTGTTGATGACGTGTGTGTGTGTGTGTGTGTGTGTGTGTGTGTGTGTGTGTGTGTGTGTATGTGTGTGTGTGTATGTGTGTGTATACATACGTGCATATATACATATATATTCCTTTTTTAATACAAAAATACAACCTACTCAATCCATATAATGTCACTTGTATGCATATGTTTTCAGGGCTGACTAATTGATATCAGATAAGCAGCAATGACATGTTTTTTCCTGGGGAAGACTATTTCTCCTCGTCTCTGCCTTCCTTAGCTGCCTGTTCTTTGTCTAGGGCTGAGACTTGGTGAGCTCCCCCCTTCCACGTTAGCATGTCCATTTGTGTCATTCCTCTTCAGGATATGTTTAGACAGCTATGTTGCTGAAATTACATAGCTGCAGCCCCTCTGACATTCCTATGACACACAGTCGCACACCAAACTTCTTGTTTCTCTGGCTCTTAAAATCTTTCTTCCGGTGCTGGAGGGATGGCTCAGAGGTTAAGAGCACTGGATGGTCTTCCAGAAGTCCTGAGTTCAATTCCCAGCAACCACATGGTGGCTCACAACCATCTGTAATGAGATCTGATACCCTCTTCTGGAGTGAAGACAGAGCATTATATATACAATACATAAATAAATCTTAAACAAACAAACAAACAAACAAAAGGTCCTGCTCCCTCCTTCATGACCCTGAGCCTCAGGTGCAGGAGTGAGAGGCTGATGGACTGGGCTCTACAGCTCTTCATTTCCATCGGTTGTAATTTTCTGTAGTGGTCTCTGTCTTTTGTAAGGATTCCTCCATGAGGGATGAGAACTACACCAATCTGTGGGTATAAGGATAAATATTTAGGATGCAGTTATGGATTATGGTGGAACAATCTTTTTGTATACTGTGAAGATGTGTTGCTCTCATTGGTTTAATAAAGAGCTAAAGAGCCAATAGCTAGGCAGGAAGAGGTTAGGTGGGACTTGTGGACAGGGAGAGAGCTCTGGGATGAAGAAGGGCAGGGTCACTAGGAGACTGGGGAGAAACAAGATGAACATGCCACGCTGAGGAAAGGTACCGAGCCAAGTGATAGAATGTGGATAAGAACTATGGGTTAATTTAAGTTGTAGGAGCTAGTTAGTAACAAGCCTAAGCTGCTGGCTGAGCACATATAATTAATAAGTCTCTGTGTGGTTATTTGGGAGCTGGCTGGCAGGACAGAAAATTCCAGCTACAGGCATGTGTACCCATACACACACATCATATACACAAATCAATAATAATAATAGCAAAACTTTAAATGTTAAAAATATGTTTAAATGTTATTAAAAATAAATTAAGAACCAGGCAGTGGTGGTACACATCTTTAATACCAGCTCTTGGGAGGCAGAGGCAGGCAGATTTCCAAGTTCAAGGCCAGCCTGATCTACAAAGTGAGTTCCAGGACAGCCAAAGAAACCCTGTCTCTCTAAAGAAAAAAAAGACTCGAATCATAGGCTAGCAAGATGGCTGCTTAGTGGGCAAAGGTAATCGCCACCAAGCCTGATGCTTTGAGTTTGATCCCTGGGACCCGCAGAAGTAAATGGAGAGAACCAAGTCCCTCAGTTGTCCTCTGACCCCTACATGCAAGCTGTGATGACCTGCACACACAGAAATACATAAATAAATAAATTGTAAAAAATAAAACTGATTGTATATTCAACACTCTCGATAAAGAAATGCCCAAGCCTAAATAGTTTTACTGGGGAATACTTCAAAAGATTAGAGAGTTTCCAAGCAGTGGTGGCACAGGTCTTTAATCCCAGCACTCGGGAGGCAGAGGCAGACTGATCTCTGTGAGTTCCAGGCCAGCCTGGTCTACAGAGGGAGTGCCAGGACAGCTAGGGCTGTTACACAGAGAAACCCTGTCTGGGAAAAAACAAAAACCAAACCAAAACAAAAAGATTAGAGAGTTAGTAGAGACTGGAGAGAAGGCTCAGTTGTTATGAGTGGTTATTGCTTTTGCAGAGGACGTGGGTTGGAGTTCTAGGTTGGTCCACTTCCATTTGAGATTAAGGTGGCTCACAACTCCCTGTACTTCCAATTCCAGGGAATATGATCCCTTTTGGACTCCAAGGGCAGCTGCACACAGGTGGTGCACATAAAACACACACACACACACACACACACACACACACGCACGCACGCACGCACGCACGCACGCACGCACGCACGCACACACACGCACCCTATAATCACAAATAAAAGTTTTTAAAAGAGTTAATAGGTGTTCTGTATAGTCTCATCTAGAAAACAGAAGAAGGAATACTTCTGTGTTAGTCAGCTTTCCATAGCTATAACAAAATACTCCAGACAATCAATTTACTAGGAGAAAAGGTTAGCCCAGTATGGTGGCCCAAGCCTGTAATCTCAGCACTTGAGAAGCTGAGGCAGGAGGATCTCAAGTTTGAAGTGGGACAGGGCTAGTCTGGACAACATAATGGCTTGGGCAGAGGGGGGATGACAGAAGAGAGAAAAGAAAGAAAGAAGAGGGGAGAGACTGGCCTGGAACCAACTAGCTGTCGACCAGACTGACCTCGAACTTGTGGCAATCCTCCCGGCTCTGTCTCCCTAGTGTTGGGATTACAGGCATGTATCACAGCTCTTTACTTGTATCCAGTGCGGTAGTCAGTCTTCAGCCCATTGATACCTTAAGAAATAAGGCTCAGGAAGTAAATTGCCTAGAGCCTGAAAGTTCTGCATTATTTTGACCTCTGGTTCACTTGCTGGGAGAAGAACTGCCTCTCTCCATGCTCCCTTCCAGCCGGGTGCCAGAGGTCCAAAGGCTACAGAGCATAAAACGTATAATTTCTGTGGTAGGGATCGAAGTCCAGCCCTGCGGCGGCTCAGCGCTTCACCTCGAGCTAGGCTCCGCCCCCAAGTCTCAGCCCTAGCGGGACTCATGAATATTCAAATAAGAAGATATTTAAAGACGCGGGCGCCAGGCGTAGATCCCTGCCTCGCGCCGTCCGGCCCCATTCGCTGAGTTCGTCATTCCTAGCGGAAGCGCCGCCAACATGTCTGATAAACTGCCCTACAAAGTCGGTGAGTCCCAGGGTGCTGGCCTCCGCGGCGACTCGACTCCCTGCCCTGGGTTTGTTGGCCGTACCAATCGGCGTCTGGTCGAGGAAGCGGCCTCGGGGCGCCCGGGACCCCCTAGAATCGCTGGCCTGGCGGTGCAGGTGCCTGGGGGTTGGAGTCCACGCGCCGCAGAGAGCTAGCTGTGGGAAGCAGCCACGGACTACAAGTCCCACCGTGCCCCGCAGCAGGCGCCCCGAGCGGCGGCGCGGGCTATGATCCTTGCTTCGGCAGCGTGCTTCTCGTTGAGAGACTGGCCCTTGGGAAGCTGCCCTCGCGGCTCTTGCGCTGGCGTCTGGTGGTCTGTGTGGCTCCCAACAAGGGTCCACCGCCTTCTGGGCCTTGAGGGTGGCCGGAGAGCGCACTGTGCTCCAGGTGCTAGTGAGGAGAGGCCTGGAAGACAAGCCCTGGTGCACTGGGGACTTGGGGCCAGCTCAGTCTGTGGGGTTGTCTGGTGGAAGGCCAGAAGAAAATTTGGAGTGGTTAGAAATTACCCTTCGTTTTGTTCCAGTGATAGAAGGCTGACTGAGTAAACAACGTTCAGTTGAGCGTTTACAATGGGATAGGCACTGCCATTATTCTAGACTAATCCGTTTTATTACTGTAGCTCCCTGGGGAAAGAACGATTCTCCTTTTACGATAAAAATTCAGAGGTATGGGAGTTATTTTTTCCAGAATCTTGCAACTGGGAAGTGCTTACCTAGAATTTGGACCCAATACGTCATCCCTTTCACTGCTGTCTGTATGCAAGGGAACACACTAATGAAATTCAGTTCAGGCTGGGATTAGTGACACAAGTTTGTAATCCAGCACTCACTTCTGAGGCTGAGGGATCCATCAGAGGTCAGCCTGGGCATACAGTGAATTTCAGGCCAACTTGGACAAAATAAGGAGACACTATCAAAACAAAATCACAAACCAATCACTCCCCCTCCCCCCAAAAAAAAGCAATTCAGTCTGGCTAGCTTTTAAAATCATTTCAAGACCCCATTAGGTTGGAGAGAGTCACCAGCATGATATGGATGCTATCCCATTATAGGGAGGAGGAACTTAAGGGAGTTCATCAGCTATCAGAGTAGATTGTTGTCTCTATTGGGGAGATACTGAAACTGAGGCCCAGAAAGGTTTAAGTTAGTGTTGTCTTGGTGGAACAGCTAGAATGTAGGCTTGTCATACTGTGGAGGGGTTGGGGAGGACCATATGTTGAGTGGCTAGAGATAAGGCTGGATTTGGAACCTGGGTTCTTGGCTGTGTGGGGGTGGAGATCCATTAAGAAGGACATGCTGTATGCCAGACCTTGTCCACTTGGTGTTTTCTATAATCCTTGGGTGTACAGTAAGGTTCAGGCTGATTATTCTTAGTCTAATGAAGCAGGTTCAGGAAGGGTCACACAGGCCTTTTGGCTTGCTCTTTTGACAGGTGTCGGTAGCCCTCTGGTTCTCTTGGCACCAAAAGCTCCAGAGTTTGGTACACTAGCTCCTCCTGTCCCTCTGGAGTGAAAGTCCCACTGAGAGCTCTGGAACTGGCACAGCTGCCACAATGCCATTGAAAGAGTCATTTCTAGCTAGAGGGACAAGCGATAGTAGATGGGGTGGAGTTTAAGCAGGAAGGCACAAAACCCAGGGTCTTTTTCAGGAAGGCCTTGAGAGCAGCCTCGACCACCATCTGCCCTGCCTCTGACTGGAAACCATAAATGCTGGGGTTCTCTTTCTTTCTTTCTTTCACCATCCTTGCCCTGTTTCAACCCTTTGTGAATCTTTGCTCAATCAGTTTTAGCAGATGATATGGTCAGTTAACATTTTCTGATTTCCTTCTCTATGCCAGGCCCTGCTGGTTACTGGAGATATAAAAGTGACCCAGGTACAAGGTTGGGACAGATAGGCCTATGTAGTGTAGCATAGTCTATTTGTGTGAGGAGATCTGTCACTTTTCACTCTTCATGCTACCAGCCCCCATTCTCATCTCTCCTCACAGGTCTCTGGTCCTCATGCTACCATTTTGTTTGCTTGTTTTTTGGGCCTCAAGATCTTCCTTTATCCTCCACAGCACTGTTTTTATAGGTACATGTCATTATGGTTGGCCAGTGGGATCTTTGAAAAGACAAATCTGGTCACGGGATAATAAATACCTCTTTTGAAGCTAGATGACCGACCCCGCTACAAGTGAAGTCCCGATTCATCTTAATGTCCCTGATGTGTGTGTGGGTGTTTTGCCTGCCTGCATGTCTATACACCAGGTGTATGTGCTGCCCACACAGGCCAGAAGCGAGTGCTGGATCCCCTGGGACTGGAGTTATAGCGTCTCTGCCAGTGTCCATGAGCTGTTAGGAATTGAATCCCGTTACTCTGGGAAGAACCGTTAAGCCATCTCTCCAGCCCCTCCATTTCCAGGTGTTTTGAGCGTAGACTGAGCCAGGTACTGCATCTGATGAGTTGACTTGTGTTAAAGCCCTGTGTGGCTGAGCAGCTGGTAAGGGGAACAAGGTGGAGATAGGAGCCGGTGGGGCCTGAAGCCCAGGTCAGGATTAGGTTTTAAAATTTTTAGGTTTCCCACTGGTCTGTAATGAAATGTGGGAACAGAGGGGACCATGGAGTTGCTTTGTCGGCCCACCTGAGAAGTGCTTTAGACAAGGGTGAGATACTCAGTCAAAACATGTTGAGTGGCCCATACCTTCACCCCAGCACCCAGGAGGCATATCAAGTTTCAGGACAGCCAGAGCTACATAATGAACCCTGTCTCAAAAACAAAACAAAACAAAACAAAACAAAAAAACCCCTAAACAGTAACACAACAGCAGCAAAGAAACCAAAACCAACTAAACAAACAAAAAAAACATGATGGCAAGCAAAAATGGAAATAAAATCTTAGAGGCTTTTGGCCAGCAAGTTGATTGAATGGTGGTTTCATTTCCTAAAATGGGAAGACTGGGTGTGTGTGGCTAAGGAGTCTTGAGGGCTCATACTTGATGGGTAAACAGTTGGACACCAGTCTAGAGTTGCTGAGTCAGCAGTTAGATTATGTGACTCTCAAATTCCTGGGAGAAGTTTGTACTGGAGGTCAATACCTGGGAGTTATCACCATGGGGAAGGTGTTCACAGTCATCTGAATAGAACTTATTTGGCAGGAGTTTGGAGAGGAGCGATGATGGGTCCCCAAGGGCTCTTAGAATGTGTCAGATGAAGAGCAGCTAGGAAGGAAGGAGGGAGAAGAGAGAATCAGATGCCAAGGAAAAGCAAACATTTCAGAAATGATGGAGTCGTTAGCGAGGTCTCTGCTCCTGTGAGAAACCTGAGCATAATTACCCCAGGGGTACCCAGAATAGAACGGTAAGGGATGAGAAAATCAGGGACCAGGGACAGCTTATCCTTTTCGACAGACAAGAATGCCTAGTCTAACTACAGATGAGGATGGAGTCCGTGGACAGAAAGTAAATTGTCAAGTAATGTTATCAGTCGATGAGGAAAGATGACTGGGGAGAAGAGAAGGGGATAAACTTATTAGGAAAATGTAGTAGGGTTGCTGGGATGTGCCAGGTGTCCCTTGAGTTTTATGTTGATAGTAGGCAAGACTGTTGTCCCATGCCTGTTGATTCTCCTGCCAGTTCAGGCCTTAGCTACATTGAAGAGCTGGCTCTAACTAGGAGGAAACTTTGGCTTTTGCTGTTGTTTTGTTTTTGAGACTAGGTCTCTGTGAAGCTCAGGATGAACTCAATTCTTCTTACCTCAGCTTCCCTAGTGCTGGGATTACAGGCATGAAGCCACCCACCCAAGCTTTGGGTATGAGCTTTGCTAAGTGAGGTCTCAGAGGCTAAGAGAGCAGGGGATGGACAGAGGTATCCTAAACTGGACGAAAGAATTGGAGATGCTGAAGGGGGCATGGTAAAAGACACTAGAAATTGATAAAAATCAGTGGTGTAGAGTCTGAGCTGTTCCCTCTTGGAGCTGGGAATGTACAGGGGGAAGACATGCCAGATGATAACCTGGAGAGAGGAGAGAGGAGAGAGAGAGAGAGAGAGAGAGAGAGAGAGAGAGAGAGAGATGAGGAGCTGTGTATATTGCTGATTGAACCCCTGGTAGGGTAGATCAGGGTCTTGGACACACCCTGTCACTGCTCCTTTGAAATTATTTAATGCAGTGTAGGAAGCAGAATAATAATAAAGTCTTCATAGTAGTAGCAGCAGCAGTAGTGTCTGAGACAGGGCTTCATGTAGCCCAGGTTGGCCTTGAACTTGCTATGTAGTCAAGGATGACTTTCCTGCCTCTATCTCCCAAGTACCAGAATTACAGGTATGGTACACCACTCCTGGCATGTTTAACTATTTGTTAAATTATTAAGATTTCTGTAACAGCCTTCTTTCTCCTTCACCCTTCATTTCCTAGGGTGAGTGAGACCTAAGCTCCCCAAAGGTAAACACACTGGGGAGATGGTTCAATTGGCAAGTTTGCCTGTCTTTATAAACATGAGAACCTGAGTTCATGTAAAGCTGCAAGGACCTATAATCTCAGTACTGATGAGGCAAAGGCAGGAGGGGAGTCTACCTAGCCAGATCAGTGAGCTTCAGGTGCAGTGAGATCCTGTCTCAAAAAATAAGACAGAAATTGAGAAAGACACTGACATTGGCCTCTGACCTCTATATACATGCACATACATAAAAAGAAAGACCACTGTCCTTTCATTTAAAAAATAATAGTTAAAACAAATCTCACCATGAACCCCAGGCCCATCCTACTACACTTGCTGGATTTGAGTTTTCCCAGGGGATCGATGTTTGAGGTTGGTACACCAGTGAAAACGATTGACAGTGGGATTCAGTCTCAGCTGTTTTTCCAAGAGGCATTTGTGCTTCTCTTTGTTGTGAGTCACAGAATGCTGTGGCAGATTGCTCAGCCTAAGGGCTATAGGGCCACACTTGGATCACTCTTTACACCGGGATGGTGCTTCATGGTTGATGGGAGGAGGTGGCTTGTGTAACTCTCTCTCCATCTTGTTCCTGCAGCGGACATTGGACTGGCTGCGTGGGGACGAAAGGCCTTGGACATAGCTGAAAATGAGATGCCAGGTTTGATGCGGATGCGGGAGATGTACTCGGCATCCAAGCCGCTGAAGGGTGCTCGCATTGCTGGCTGCCTGCACATGACTGTGGAGACGGCTGTCCTCATTGAGACTCTCGTGGCCCTGGGTGCGGAGGTGAGGTCCACAGCCGTGTGACTCCTTTGAGTCCCTTGCCCTCTCTGGGTTCAGCCATGGAAGAGGACTGGTTGGGAGACCTAGCTGGTTTTCTCTCCATTTCCCACTGCTAACACCTGTGGCAGAGAAACTTGAGGGCCTCTTTGGCTTTTGAGCTAGCATCCCACTCTGTAGCCTAGGCTGTCCTGGAATTTACTGTATTGTTCAGGCAAGGCTCAAGCTATCTTTCTACCTCAGCCTTCCAAGTACTGGGATTTTACTTCCATTGACCTTTCTTTTAGATTTGTTTTTATTTTGTGTGTATGGATGTTTGCCTGAATGTACATCTGTGCACCACTTGTATGCAGTGCCCAAGCAGGCTAGAAGAGGTTGTCATTTTTCCCTACAACTGGAGTTACAGTTGGTCATGAGCCACCATGTGGGACTGGGAATTGAACTCAGGTCCTGGAAGAGTAGCCAGTGCTCTCAACCACTGTATCTCTAGCTCCCATTCTTTTTATTTTCAACATTCAGTTTGTTGGTGATCTGATTTCATGGCTTTAAATACTGCCTGTGTGGTGATGACTCATGTACAAGCCTCTCACATCTAAGTATTGATGTAAGCCTCTTGGCCATCAAGTACACATCCCATGTCGAACAAGTCCAAACAAACTTTCTACCCTCTGCATCCTGAAGTCCGCTACATCCATCACTAAATGGCAAGTCTAGCCTGGAGATTCTCCCTGCATGAGGACCCTGGAGTATTTGACAGCCACACATCACTTCCACCGTTGCTGCTGTATTTCTTCTCTGCAGCCTGCTTTAGCAGATCCTTCCCTGTCTCCTTGTTCACATAGCACTAGAGTAACGTTTTATTTATTTAATTTTGTGTGTGTGAGGGTTTCGTCTGCGCCTTCATGTTTGTATGTGTACCACATACATGCCTGGTGCCCACAGAGCCCAGGAGAAGGTACTGGTTGTAAGCTACACTGTGGATACTGGGAACCAAAACCAGGGTCCTCTACAAGAGCAGCAAGTGCTCTTAACTGCTGAGCCATCTCTCTAGTTGTTTATTTATTTGTATGTGTTTTGAGTCAGAATCTCACTGCATAACTCGGGCTGGCCGGGAATTCTCCTATAGCCCAAGCTGGCCTTGAACTCTGATCTTCCTGCCTTATATCTTGAGTTTTTGGATTATAGGTATGCCACCATGCCTGGCTCAGTGATTTATTGCCTTTTTTTTTTTTTTTTTAAAGTTCTAGTGGTATCTTTTTACTGCTTTGGCTTCTAGCTATTCACTTGCCCAGAGTACCAGCCTTTTACTCTTGGCCTCAGGGCTTTCTTTTCCCTGTTTCTTCATAGCCACCCGTGACCAACAGCCTTGTTTTCCTGGTCCTTCTAGGTGCGGTGGTCCAGCTGCAACATCTTCTCTACTCAGGACCACGCAGCAGCTGCCATTGCCAAGGCGGGCATTCCAGGTGAGTGGGCTCACTGTGGACTATGTGGGAGTGGATAAAGCACTTTGCTTTTTCGTGTTTCTCTTACTGACTCTTGTAGTATAGGTTTCCATAAGCAGACAGAGCCCCTTATCCCATTGACTTACAATAAAGAGCTTTTTTGCCCTCCTACCTCATCTCAGATCCCATGGAAGATACCTATCTACCCACTGAGTTATGTGGTCTCTAGTGGAAGAATCTTAAGATTGGGAGCTCCATGGTGCAGAGGATAGGGAAGCTCCTTAGAGGGACTCTTGATCATTTACTAAAGAACAAACTGGTGCAGTGTAAGGCAGAGCTGGAATCTCAGGGATGCACTGGCTGAGGTGTTGTGGTAGTTTAGGAGTATGTGAAAGGACCAGAGTTAAAGAGCAAAGACTTTGTCTCAGCTGCTGCAGAGTGGTACATGTCTGTCTGGACTCAGTGGTGGGGTTGGGGGGTGTTAGGTTCAATGGTGATTAAATAGAATATACAAGAATTTTTACCAGGGGGCTAGAGAGATAACTCAGTGGTTAAGAACACTGGTTGCTCTTCAGAGGACCCAGGTTTGATTCCTAGTACCCACATGACAGCTCACAACCATTTGTAACTCCAGACCCAGGAAATCCAATATCCATTTCTGGCCTCCTCAGACACCAGGCAAGCACATCATACATAGACATATTCATAGGCAAAACACTCAACATGTGGTGGGAGAGATCTTTTTGTTTGTTTGTTTGTTTGTTTGTTTTTCGAGACAGGGTTTCTCTGTGTAGCTTTGGAGCCTATCCTGGCCCTCGCTCTGGAGACCAGGCTGACCTCAAACTCACAGAGATCTGCCTGCCTCTGCCTTCTGAGTGCTGAGATTAAAGGCGTGCACCACCAACGCCCGACTGGTGGGGGGAGATCTTAATCAGCCATAGGTAGCGGGGGCATTGGGAGGGGCTCCTGTCGAGCCTCACAGGGCTGAGTGCCTGTCAGCAGCTCCCACCTTAGTGAGGCTCGGCAGCCCTCCTTCAAAAGAGGCTTTGCTTTTGACAGCATTATCTTCTACAGTTGTGGGGAGGGAGGCAGCCGACTGCTTGGCTGGTGTCCTGTGCAAACAGGAGAGTCTTGAAGCCCACACCTGTGGCGTTCCACACGGTGGGAGGACCAAGGCCAGCAGCCAGCACCCCTGTTTCAGGTGCTGCTCTCCAGTGCTGTGCTGAGTGCTGCACTTCCTAGACTCTCTTGAGGTTTTTGTGAGTGGTGATGGCAGTGCCTCCTTATGGGGTTTTTGTGAGGGCACTCAAATGGGCACAGAGCAGTTACAGTACCTGACACAGAATGCTCCGTCTTTAGTAGCTTCTCTGGGGGAACTTTGACCAGGCATCACCTGAAATTACCCACCACCGAGACTGCCAGGCCTTCAAGACCTTTCAGTGAACAAATCCAGGGTCCTACCTGACAGTGCCCAGTGAGAAGGATGCCCTTCTGGGTTAGAGTCCTATTTTTTGTAGTCCAGTACCCTACTCCCTGGAAGAAGGAAATACAAAAGGGAATAATTATTTCTAGACACATAGGTCTAGGGCTGTGTGTGGCTTCTGTGTCAGTGATTTATATTACTGCAAGCCTCATTTATAGAAGAGGAAACTGGTAAAGTGAATTTCTCAAAGTCACTTGGCTGGAAAGTTCAGAGCCAGGGTTTGAGCTTAGATCTGTCTAGCTTCAAGCTGTATACTTCCCATTGCTTTCTATAGACTGGACATACATAGGGATGGGAATTAGGAAGGGGACAGAATTGGCTCTGTTTCTGGAACCTCCCTGCCAGCTTCTCATGTGCCACTCACCCTCCAGTGTATGCCTGGAAGGGCGAGACAGACGAAGAGTACCTGTGGTGCATTGAGCAGACGCTGCACTTCAAAGATGGACCTCTCAACATGATTCTGGATGATGGTGGTGACTTAACTAACCTCATCCATACCAAGTACCCACAGCTTCTGTCAGGTAAGCAGCTGGGCTGGGCACTAGTGGCCTGAAGGGAGCCTGCCCCTTCATAGACCTGAGGCAATGGGCCTGGCAGAACGCCCAGATTCTCCATAGGCCTGGAGGACAGGAGGTTCCTGCAGGCATGGAGTCTGCCTTCTGACTTGTGCTGTGAAGCCAGGGTAACGGGGTAGAGCCAGAGCTTGCTGAGCTCATTAGCCAAGGCTAATGTAGGGCAGTGCTAGGAATGGTTGCAGAGAAGCAGCCTTGTTGACTGTGTGACAGGGAGGAGGAGGATGGAGGGTGGAGAATACAAAAGGCCCTGAGGTAGAAAAAGATTGACTATACAAAAACTAGCATGACTAGTAAATGAAGAAGCCATCTCTTGAAAGTATTATAGGACAACTGGATGAAGAATAGTGTCAGGCACTAACTAGCACAGTGGTGGGAGGAAGGTGTTGGGAAGTTGAGTCATTAGGCCTGGTAGGACTTTATATGGGAGGCATCAGATGATACTGGCCTTGGTGACTTGGTAGACTTTACGGTCAGGTACAGAGATGGGAATAAAGGAGAGGGGGACACTTGGGAGTGAGAAGGGCTTTGGGTAGAGATGTGTTCTCTGATGCTCTCCCTCTCTTGTTCAGGCATCCGAGGCATCTCTGAGGAGACCACGACTGGGGTCCACAACCTCTACAAGATGATGGCCAATGGGATACTGAAGGTGCCTGCCATCAATGTCAACGACTCTGTCACCAAGGTGAGCCCTGGGGTAGTGTCAGCTCCAGTTGTTGCTGCCCAGTGAGCCGAGGAGTGGATCTCTGAAGAGTGTCCAGGAAGGGTATGGCCTGGGACATGAAGCCCTTACCTGAGGGGCTGAGGGTGGAGAGTGCATTGAAGGGAGACCTGCACAGTGGGTCATGGCTGCTTCGGGAACATTGTGGCTTTGATTATCAAGAGCTTTAAAGTTAAGCACATTCTTTGACCCAGTAACCTGTCCTGGGCATTGCTTCCCTGGGCTGCTTCTAGAGCAGCAGAGACCTGCTAGAGAGACAGTCTTGAGGCTGATGGGGAGGGGGTCATGTTGGCATTGTCTAGTGGAGAAGATTCTTAGGGGGTCAGCCAGGCTGACAGGGCTCAAGTCTCAGGCCTGTGGGATGCTTTGAGGCCAAGGCTTTGCCTGCCCCTCATCCCCTTACCCCCTCTCCTTTCAGAGCAAGTTTGACAACCTCTATGGCTGCCGGGAGTCCCTCATAGATGGCATCAAACGAGCCACAGATGTGATGATTGCGGGCAAGGTGGCGGTGGTGGCAGGCTATGGCGATGTGGGCAAGGGCTGTGCCCAGGCCCTGAGGGGTTTTGGGGCCCGAGTCATCATCACCGAGATTGACCCCATCAATGCACTACAAGCTGCCATGGAGGGTATGATAGCTCAAGGTCTGGCTGTTGGGGCTAGAGGAGGACTGAGGCCACCTTTGATAACTCATGCTCGGTGTCTGCGCAGGCTATGAGGTGACCACCATGGACGAGGCCTGTAAGGAGGGCAATATCTTTGTCACCACCACAGGCTGTGTTGATATCATTCTTGGCCGGTAGGTACCACGTGGGAATCCTAGGGAGCAAAGGTGCAAAGGTGCACAGGCTTGGGGCTGTTCTTGGTCTCTGGTCTCTCACGGGGTTGGGCTCCCTCATAGGCACTTTGAACAGATGAAGGACGATGCCATTGTGTGTAACATTGGACACTTTGACGTGGAGATTGATGTGAAGTGGCTCAATGAGAACGCTGTGGAGAAGGTGAACATCAAGCCCCAGGTGAGAAGCCCCAGCCTTTCCCGCAGGGATGGTGGTGAAGGGCGGGGAGGATGCCTCTCATGGAAACTTTTGTAACCTGGAGAGTGCTGTGTGTGTTGGATAAGCCTCATTTCAGAGTTAGGTTTGAGGTATCAGAGTTGGTCAGCAGGTGTGTGGAGCGTGGTGACCTGGCTGCTTCAGGTCACTATGTACTTGGGAGTGAAGATTGCTTTGTATACAGTGGTGGCCAAAGAGACAAGGCTCTGAGGGTGCTCATAGCCAGGCAGGCATGCTGGCAGCTGAGGTGTGTGGGCTGAACTGGCAGCAGGGTCAGGATGGGGGAGGACTGGAAAGGGACACTGCATTTCTGTCTTTGCTCTGGGCAAAGTAGGCCATCATTATTGAGTTAGAGAAAGGGTGGCTTTGCTGCAGGGCATTGAGAGATAGTTCCTTTGGAGTACATGCAACTTTTATCTGGCTTTTCATGACAGGGTTTCTCTGTATTGCTTTGGAGCCTGTCCTGGAACTTGCTCTGTAGACCAGGCTGGCCTCGAACTCACAGAGATCCACCTGTCTCTGCCTCCTGAGTGTTGGGATTAAAGGCGCTGGCTTTTTATTTCTTACCTGGTTATAAAAGCAATGTTCCTGGAAAAGGTTTTGGCTTTGTACATTAAGAGCTCTTTTTTGCCTTGTACAGCTGGAGATTAAATCCAGTGCTTCATGTAAGCTAGGCAAGCACTGTTACCAAGCTAGTCAGGTCCTCAGTCCTGCATCCAACCTTATATATAAGTATCCTCTCTCTCTCTCTCTCTCTCTCTCTCTCTCTCTCTCTTTCTGTTTCTCACTCACACACACACACATACAATTACATTTTACTTAATCATTTTGCATGCTCGTATGTCTAAGTACATACATACTTGCATGTGGAGGTAAGAGGACAGCCTGTCACAGAGGATTCTCTCCTTCCACCAAATGGTTCCCGGGGATTAAATTTAGGTTTGGCAGCAACAACTTCACCCACTGAGCCATCTCACCATCCTGCATTCAACTTTTTAATGGCAATTGAGAGCATGAGACCTGGCCTCAAATTGTCAAGGCTCAAATTGCAGCCACTTCTTAGATGTAGCTCTGAACAAATGACTCAGCTTTGTAGACTTCAGTTTATTTGTGAAAAGGTGATGCTGAAGCACTTAAATGATAGTCATGAGGGGCTAGAGAGATGGCTCAGTGGTTAAGAGCATTGACTGTTCTTCCAGAGGATCTGGGTTCAATTCCTAGCACCCACATGGCAACTCACAACTGTCTGTAATTCCAGTTCCAGGGGATGCAACACCCATGACAAAACACCAATGCACACAAAATAAATTTTAAAAAATGATACTTATGTGGGTAAAGGATTATGTACACACTATGTGGCAGTAATGACAGTACTAGCTGCTACCTTCTGAGGACCTACTACCGTATTCCAAGTGCTTTATAGATCTGAATTCATTAAGTTCTCACAACAGGCTGGTGAGGTAATTTGCTACTCTTAATTGTGTGTGCTAGCTCTGTAGGGTTGGGGGCATTTCAGGCTATCTTGTGCAGGGTAGGAGGTGGGCAGAGACAGGTGGTGCCTACCAGCCCTTACTGTTGCCACGGGGACTTGCAGGTGGACCGCTACAGGCTGAAGAATGGGCGCCGCATCATCCTGCTGGCTGAAGGCCGGCTGGTCAACCTGGGTTGTGCCATGGGCCATCCCAGCTTCGTGATGAGCAACTCCTTCACAAACCAGGTCATGGCCCAGATTGAGCTGTGGACCCACCCAGATAAATACCCCGTTGGGGTTCACTTCTTGCCTAAGAAGGTAAGCTCTTGACTTTCCCACAAGCCAAGGCTCCTGTGCTATTCCTGGGCTCCCTGTGTGGGCTTGGCAGGGTATGTTGTTTGCCTACTGTCTTAGTTGTCCTCCAGAATCCTCCAGAGCACACCCATAGTGGCATGGGCTTTGAAGTGTGGCTCACCAGGTTTGGAGCTTTGTCTCCATTCCTCAGTTGTCAGGTGAAGGCAAGAATATGTTTCTGAATAATAATGGCGAGGTAGTTGGTAAAGTAGGCTGGTTGGGAAGTGAAAAGTTGAAGAATACATGCTCCAGATAAAGGGGTGGCTGCCACTCAGCTGTCACCAGCCCAGGACACAGCTCCAGTGGACAAAGCTTCTGAGCTCTGAAGAGAAGCCATATGCTAAGGTCTTGGTATGAAATAATTTTAAAATATAAGCAACATATTGTAGTTTAAAAAATGGATGGGCCCATTTACTTTGTTTGTTCATCTGTTTGGTTTTGAGACAGGGTCTCATTATAGCCCGGATTGGCCTGGATCTCAGTATGTAGACCAGGCTGGCCTTGACTCCTAGGTCTGCCTGTTCCTGCCTCCCGAGAACTGGGATTAAAGGCAAGAGTCTCCATGCTTATCTTGAAATTTTTGTTTGTTCATTTTGTGGACATGGAGCCCAGGTCTTCATACATGCTACACAAAATATCCCTTAGCTGCATCCCTGGTACTTGGGTGGGTCAACTAGGCATGTCTGTAAGATGCATACTGTCTAAGCACTATTAGGTACCTTAATTAATGATGATAGTAGCTACTATTGACTAAATAAATCACCCCCTTGAACTAAAAATCTGAATGTCATTGATCTTTGTGATGGCCACATAGGATATATTTATTATGTGTGTCCTACAAGTGAGGAAACCACGGTTTAGAGGCTGGTGTACTCTTGGGAGTCACTGGGAATCCAGCTCGTACTGCCCAGATGGTCACCCATTATGTGGCACACTGGTACAGAGAGCCGTGAGAAGGCAGGCGTCCTGAGCTAGATTGGCCAGGCATAGGAGACCTTCATTCTGCTTCTGATACAGATTCCAGGTTAGGCCCTTCTTGCCTTTACTTGCATCTATGAACCTGATAATCATTTCTTTAGTGTAGGCATTGTCCTCCCCTTCCTACTTCTTAGGAATGTTTGTGAAGTTCTAAGGACAGTGAACATAAAACTGCTTAGGAATGTAAAAGCACTCTGTGCTGAGGGTAGTACCACTTGCCAGTAACCCCCCTCCTCCCCAGAGCAGTTCTGTTGGGTAGATGAGGCTAAGGGTACTAGAGTATGACACTAACTCCAGGTTTCTGTTTCTCTCCAGCTGGATGAGGCAGTGGCTGAAGCCCACCTGGGCAAGCTGAATGTGAAGCTGACCAAGCTGACTGAGAAGCAGGCCCAGTATCTGGGCATGCCCATTGATGGCCCCTTCAAGCCTGATCACTACCGCTACTGAGAGACAGGACTGTCCTTCACCTTCCAGCTGCCATCCTTACTCCAGGCCCTACCTCTCTTTCCCAAGAGCACATGTCACCAACTTTGCAGTTGCTTCGCCAGTGTTCGTCCCGCTGAGGCTGGTTACTCTGGCTGGTCTCTGTTGTGTCCTTCATACTGTTCTAGGTGTGGTGAGGGGAACTGAGAGTCTCCAGTCAAGATAAGAGGTACCTGGGAGCGATCCACAGGGGACACGAGCTTCGGAGTCTTGGAAGTCCTGAGGCTGGATGTGGCTAGTGGTGGTCACAAGCCCATGCATCTTACCATCCAGACCCTCACTTGGGCTTTATTAGATCCATGTGCTTAGTTTCTCAGCCCGGGACAGGGCAGGAGCCACTGGAGTTTGGAGGGGCTTCCTCAGAGCTTATTTACCATTGGGCCGTCTCTTAAACCTCAGAATACTGAGGTTGGCACTTTTGGTCCCTGTTTCACGGGGTTAGAATAGATTAAGAGATAACCAAGAAAGGAAAAGTGACAGCTAGAGATTGAAAGGGACCAGAAAAAACAAATAGGCTAAGGTCTGTCACTGTCTTGTAATTGATGGTTTTGTGACAAGCCTGGGTCACAAAAAGACTAATTTGATTTATAGTGTCTAGAATGTTAACAAAGGAAGGTGGATTAAATAAAATTTCTGGTGCCTAAAGAAATTTTGACCTTTTATTATATAAGATATTGACTACCATGTCGATCACCATGTATGCCAGTTTTTAAGTGTGTGTGGTATGTGTGCATTTGTGTGCAGGTATGTGTTCTGTGGTCATGGAGCCCGGAGGAGGACATTGGGTGTGTGATCACTCTCTTCTGTATTCCTGAGATAGGGTCTCTGACTGAACCTGGAGCCAGGCTGTTCTGTTTCTGCTCTCCCCACCCCCCGTCCACCAGTACTGGGGATACAGTAGGACATGGCTTTGCTTAGCTTTTTTACAAGTGTAAAGTAGTCTTACCCACTCAGCCATCTCTTCAGGGAGTCCCTCAGAAATGTAAAGTCAGAGATCTCATAACTTGAGTCATACAAAAACGTATGAGAAATTGAGCTCCCTGTTATTTGTCCAAGTGGTCATTTAGTGAACCCGTTTAACCCTGAAGTCAACTAAAGGCAACCCAAATGTACAGAATGACATTCTGAGTGCCCTCCCCAGAATGGAGAGCCCGGTGTAAGTGTGAGCGCTGAACACAGATGGCTGGGATGTCTAGGTAAAGATAGGTTCTCTCAGGAACAGCTCTGCCATCCCCTGCCCCTTCCCCTTTTCTTCCCAGCTTTTGGATTCCATGTCTGGCAGCAGGAGAAAGGCATTGGAGAAGAGGTAGTGCTTGAAAAGACTTTGGAGAAAAGTAGGGTTTTTTGTTTGTTTGTTTTTGAGACATGGTCTCAAGTTGCCCAGGCTGGCAAACTATATAGCTAAAGGTGACTCAGTTTCTGATCTTCCTGCCAGTGTAATGTGAATACAGTATGTCAGATGACAACTTTTAGGGGTTGGTTCTCTCCTTCCATCTTCATGTGTTTTCTAAGGATCAAATTCAGGTCTCAGGCTTACACAGCCAATCATTCATCTCCATTCCCAGTTCCTCAAAGTTTTAAAGATTTCAAACAAAACCCTTGGGTCATTCAGCAGTCCAGTGTCACAGGGATAAGGGACTGAGAATGTTCATCCCAGCTTAGGCGTTGGCCCTTAAGTAATTACTTTCTCTCCCTGCAGTACATGTAGTTGAAGGTGTGTAAACTACATGAGTATATGATGACTTTGCTGAAAATAAGTTTTGGTAAATTCAGATGCCAAGGGCCCACTTCTCATATTTTTGGTTGTGAGCCTAGCCTTTAACGGCTGAGCCATCTCTCCAGCCCCCCACTTCTCAACTAATCATGAAATGGTAAAATAGACTGAAAGGGAAGTGCAGTCCCTGCCCTGTGGGAGCCGAGGGAGGAGGATCAGAAGGTGAAGGTCATCCTTGGCTACAGGGGGAGTTGAGAACAGCTTGAGCTATGTCAGAGCTGTCTCCAACAGGTAATGATAGATGGATAGGATCAAAATTAATGAGTAAAAGTACAAAGTATTAAATAAAAAGCAATCCTAATTCTTGAAAAAATAGGAGACACATCTCTTGTACTATTTCTTGCACACTAATTGTGTTCAAGGTTGAACCAAAAAAAGCCTTTGTTTTGAGATGGCCTTGGCCCAGGCTGAACCCCACATTTATAAAAATCTTGCCTCAATTTCTGGAGTGCTGGTATTACAGAGGGGTGCCCCATTGCATCCTGTTGCTCAAAAGGACACTTTTTAGGATCTTACTCATTCTTCACGAGAACTTGCTAGAGTCTTGGACTCAGGCTGAGAGAAGCCATTTGGATGAGCTAGCTGTTGTACTAGGTTGGATTCCTGGAACCAAAATCCAAGACATTTCTATACCATAGGCCCAGGGTTAGGAGGGAGGGAACGAGGTTTCAGACTCCTTAACATTAGGTTAAGTAACTCAAACTGGAACTTAGGTTCCTAAAAGCAAGGCTCCAGCAGTGGGGGTTGCTTCACCCCATCTTCATCCCACCCTGACTTGCAGAGACTGCTGTTCTGAGTGTTGCTCCCTTGATAGCAGTGGCTATGCTGATCCCTCCAAAGAGACCAGCTGAGGGTGGATAGATAGAGCACAAAGATAGAGCAAGTGCCTTTCCAGGTGTTCCATCTGTGAGAGTCCCATGCAGCCCTAAGCTGTCCCCTGGTGAGGGTCCCATGCAGTCCTAACCTGGCTTTTGTTACCCTGGCCGTTACCTTCCTTTTTTTGGAGATGTTCTCTTGCTCTCAGAACCTTTTCATTAAAAACAAAACTTTCACTTCTGGTCTCAGGTGTAGGTTTGTACTCAGGTGTGCTACTCTATCACAGGTGTGACAATGACCAGGTATCCACAATAAAGGATGATGTGTCTCGGGCCTTCTCCACAGCTCTTTGCCAAAGTTTCATGAGGAAGAACTAGCTGAGGCTCCCACAGTATCTGGCCTGGCCCCCACTGTGCTTCCCATCTAGCCTGAAAAAAACAAGATGAGGCCTGGGGGGTTGTGGGGCAGTGATCTGCGGGTTAAGGAGAAGACCTGAGTCCCACTCAGGATAGTGACAAATACCTCAGATTGTTGTCTTAAAGTTCTATGTCAAGTTTTAAGGCCAGGGGTTGGGGAGAGAGTTGTTTGGAGGGTAAGGAGTTTAGAAGACTTTTGAGATCTAAACAATACTTCCCATATTTTAGAAAAGCACATCCTTACTCCATTCTGTAGTAAGGACTCTTCTGCCCACATTGCTTATAGGAGTTAATCTTCCATCTACATGTTGTCCAAACAGCCTCTGGGGGAGGACTTCAAGATTCAATGGCCTTGGTGTATACCAACTCCCATGTTCACAGATACCATAAAGAGGGAAAGAAAATCCTCCCCTGTTACAGAGTGGGGGCGATAATCTTTGGAAGACACTGACCATCTGAGCAGAGGGCAAGGCTCAACTCTGGAGTGACTGACTGCCTGTGTTTCCCTTCCAGTGTAATCTGCTGGCTAAGGATGAGATGGAAGGCAGAGTTTAGGGATGGTAACCCAACATCTTCTTAGATTGTCGGCTCTGAAAAATGCCCCGTTTAAAGTGTGTGGTGTCTGCCTTTGTGTCAAGTTCAGTTATAAAACCACAGGCTGCTGGAACCTTAAATATCTTAGAGCATTACTAAAGTAGAAGTCAGTGTTCAGACATGGAGTGATTGTTCCCCAGAGCTTCAGCTATTTATCTGAAGTCCCCTTGCAGGGCTGGGTACTTCCTGCCGCCAGGTGTCAGGCTGTTGGGGGGAGACTCCCAAGTCTTAGCTGAATAGTAATGAGAGCTTAGAGGGCTGGAGGAAGCATGCGTTAAAACCCAGGAAAAGTCACAGGGCCCACTAATAGCAGTGAAAACTCTGGGGGCAGCAGGCAGTGAGTACTTAGCTCTGCTTTGGTGGTCTGAAGTCCCAGGAAGCCAGATTCTCACCCCAGAGACTCAGCACTGTTCCAGGAGACCTGCTTGAGGCAATCAGGGTGCTCATGTAATCCAGGCTTAGCCAACTAACTTCAATCAATTCATCAATCAACTCTGCAAATTGGTTTAAGAATAAGTACGTGATTCAGGTTGGTCCAGATGCAAACACAAGGCGGTAGGGATTTTGCTAGAAATCTGGTGCAGTGAGCAGCGAGCCATGAACTTGCTTCGGAAGCTGAGTATGGGCTTAAAAAGTAGCTGTAATTTACTGTTGCTCCAGTAGTCTACACAGCCACTGGGCATAGGAATTCTAAGGAGGAGTTTGGAAGGTGTGAAAACCTTTAAGACTCATTGAGAAGGGCTCCCCCGACAAGAAGAAGGCCAAGCATAAGCATTATTACCACCACTGGAGCCACCTCCCAGATACAACTCACAGATCTGGCTGGGGGAGTTGGCAAGTAGTTACTGTTTTTCTCCAGGCTATCAGGAGAAAACTCCCCTCTGGAATACAGCCTTTTACTATTTTGAAATATTTTACTTGATAAAACAATAACAAAGAAATTCCTTTTCAGCTGCCTTCTCTTTCAACACACATGTCTATCCCTTTAGTTCATGGAAGAAGAAAAAGAGTAAAAGTCTACTCTAGATCTGAAAGTTACTACAGATGGTTTGGCTAATTTGGCTCAAATCACTTTCTTATTCTTCACTTATCCTGTTCCCTCCACACATGGGAATTGGCCCCGGGAGCTAGGTTTCTTTATAAAGCTCCTTTTGGAGAAGGGTAATTTCCTGTCAGTGGGTAGTGGTCCACATCTGTGCTCGCTGAAACAGATGGAAGAATTTAGAATCAGGACCTAGTGATTGCCAGTTAGATTGACCTTACGTCCACAGTCTGGGACATCTGGGGCCCTGGGGCTTTCTGCCTCTGAGACTACAGAGTTTTTGAAGTATACTGCTTTTGTGAAATCATAAGCTTTAGTTTCTTTTAAAAATATCAAAGCTTTTTAAAAAGATGTAATAAAAACATACATGTTTAAATCTTCTATGCATTAAAGGTTAACCTGTTGCAAAACCACCTGGACCAAATTCTGACATAAACCCTGCTGTTTCCATTTATTAGGAGGCTGTATGAGGTAAAGGGTGAGCTGTTAAAAACCTTCTTACATCTCCTGGTCATTTAAACTTTCTTCTAAAACCAAACTAACAGACAAACTGGCTGGTGGGGCTAATTAGGGAGGGCACCTGTTATCTACTCGCTGATTTCAATTTTGTGTGCATAAATATAACATATTGACAAAGATGCTTTCATGTGTACTGTATGATGAGATTCTCACTTAGGACTTCAACTTCCAGAGCTGAGGAGGTAGGAGGGTTGGTAGAGTTCATTTAGCAAACACCAAGCCCTGGGGTGGATCCCAGCTTCGCCTACTATATCATAAACCACACATGGTTCTGCATCCATGTCATCTAGCACTTAGAACATAGAGGCAGGAGGATCAGAAGTTCGAAGTTAGTGCAGATTGGGCCAGCCTGAGTTACATGAGACCACCCCCTCCCCCATGACAGAAAAAAAAAACAAACAAACTTGAGACGTGTTCAAGGTCACATTATGAGAACTTCGGGTGCACAAGTTTAAGGCAATGGCTGTGGGAAGAAAGGATGAATAGCGGAGCAAACCTTTACAGGACAAAGTTTACCCAGAGAGAGAGAGAGAGAGAGAGAGAGAGAGTGTGTGTGTGTGTGTGTGTGTGTGTAATAGTGTGGGGATGGGCTAAGGCACTCATATCCTCATAACAGAACATACAATATAAACGTGAGTTTTAGTTCTGGCCACCAAAGTGGGCTATGATCTTAGGACTCTAAAGCTTACAGAGGAATTCTGAAAAGATAGAACAACTCAGGATCTCAAAGCTGAAGGAAAACCTGGGCAGGTAGTACCTAACTAGGGGGTCTGAGTCAACAGAAGCAAGATTAAGTGTGAGGAAGAGCCCCACAGGCTAACAGTTGTTCTTGCCTCTTATGAGGGCCAGTGGTCAGGCCCACTGAATGATTAAGGTCTGTAGGGACAATACCCATATTGGAGTTTTTCATTAGAGTACTTACAGTACCCAGTATACAGCAGGTGGCCAACACACAAGCTGAATGAGTGAACCCCTGGGCTTGCCTTCCATGGCATTGTCTAAATCCAGTAACTCAATGGCTTTGTGCTAGTGGGCTGCAGGGGTGGTAGCACTTCTTTAGTTTCCAGCAGTGGGAGGCAGAGCCAGGGGGACCTCTATGAGTCCATGGCCAGCCAGAGCTACACATAGTGATGTTTTGTCTCAAAAACAATATCAAAAACAAACCGGCACATAGCAACAACAACAAACTGGCTGAGTGTTCAGTTTTTTATGCTGCTTCACTGCTGGGCGCCAAATAGTACCTGGTGAGTGAACAGTGTCTGGCAAATACAGGAGCAGTTGCTGCAATGTGTTCCCAATATTCTCATTACTGATGACATTTACTCAGCAGCAGCTGTGGTACAAGAACAACATGTTCTTGCCTTGTGGGCTTGCAGCCTAAAGGACAGAGAACAAAGCAAACAATGGGCAGCTTCTCTGTGAGCATGCGTGTGGGTGAGTGTGCATGTGGGCGAGCATGGGTGTGGGTGAAGAGTGCATGTGGGCAAGCATGGGTGTGGGTTAGTGTACATGTGGGTGAGCGTGCCTGTGGTGAGCGTGCAGGTGGGTGAGCATTCGTGTGGATGAGCATGGGTGTGGGTGAGCGTGCATATGGTGAGCATGGGTGTGGGTGAGCATGCATGTGGGTGAGCATGGATGTGGGTGAGAGTGCATGTGGGCGAGCATGGGTGTGGGTGAGCATGCGTGTGGGTGTGTGGTGGTGCTGCATTAAAGGCATTGAGAAATCACAACTTCCTGGATTTTTACCAAGAACAGCTGGAATTATTTCTCATTTTAAAGATAAGTAAGAGAGACAGACATAAGGACTTGTCCAGTGTCAGCACTGTGTGAATAGCTTTGCCTGGAGCACCTGCCTTTTCTTGTGCCCTGTCTAGGTGGTGACTGGGCAGAGGTGTTTGCCTCTTGTATCCATTCGAGGTAAGTATGGCACCAAAAGCACAACCTGGGTCTCCATTTGGAAAAAGGTCTACGGCAAGAAGAGAGGTTTGAGGGAGTGAAATTTACATTTATTACACTTATTGTATGTGATGTGAGTTTGAGGATGCCTGTGTACTGTGACAGACAACTCTGAGGGCTCTGTTTTCTCTTACCTTTACAAGGTCCTGGGGATTGAACTCAGATTGGCAGGCTTGTGAGCCATCTTGCCAGCATTTGAAAGAGAACAATAGCAAATAGACACAAAGGCCCGAAAAGCTGGTCACACCTGTATCAGACCTTACACCTGTCTTCATCTCCCTAGCCCAATAGAGATTCTCTATGGAATCTTTTTTGGCAAAGCCCTTTTTCTTTTGGTACTTGCATGTAATAATTTGGGGTTGGGGGCAGCTCAGGCTAGGCGAGGGAGCCCTGTGAGCCCTCTTCTCAGCCTTTCTCCCTTCGGTGCCCCAGCCAAGACAAGTAGATGGCACTATCTAGAACCCTCCATTTGCGCTCTCCCTGCTGCTCCTTCCTCACAGAATCTGCGCCACAAACTCTTCACTTTCTCTAGGTGCTCTCTCTCCCACGGTTCTTCCAAAGTTACAACGCAGCACCTCAGCTTCTCACAAACTGAGACTCTGTGGAATTTCAGGGAACAGTCTGGGACGTTTTTGGCAATAGGTCCTTGATAACTTAGTGCGATTGCCGCTTCTTTCCAGCTCCCCCCAACCCCTACAGCTTTCTTACCGGCCAACTAGGTGAAGATCAAGGAAGGCTGTGTACATTTTTGCTTCTTTAGGAGCCCAAACTCTAGGGTATTAGAATAATAATTTTAAATGCATGGGGACTAATGCCCGGAAAATTCTTATGGTCCAAACATCTGTATGCCCTTGGGAGGAAGGGAGGAGTGGGTTTCATTAGTGCCTTTGTTTGGGAGACTCTTAAAAGTTCTAGGATCCTCAACCCAGATCCTTCTGGCTTTAGAAACCCACAACAAATGCACCACCCCGCCCCTACCCGGCTGAGACTGCCTGTGGATTTCTAGCTCGCCTGGGATATTTGTACTCCTCCCCGGGAGGAGAGCGTTGAAAATACTGGAAGGCCGTTCCCTAAAGCTCCCTTTCTCCTAGACTGGAGGCAGCCGGTACTGAAAGTCTGGAAGGAACCGGGCAGCATCGTGCCTACTGCTAGAAGCAAAGGTACCAGCCACGCGCGATCCTCGGGGTCTCCGCAAGGATCAGAGCTCGGTAAAGGGGCCGGAAGCTTTCGGCTCTTTTAAAGAAACAGCCACACTTTCCCAGCAGCCGAAAGATACTGTATTCTGATTTTAGCTTCCATTAGGGTTCCTTGAACACCTGTCATCGGAAAGCACCCACCACCCTAGACCACGCCCACCCACGAAGAGACCCCTCCCTCAGCCTTGAAGCCCCGCCCAATCACCCATCTCGGAGGCTGCGCGCGCAGCGCGGAAGTGCGTTCAGCAGTTGGGGTTGAGCGCGCGGCAGGTGCAGGCGCTGCGGAAGAAGCGACACTGGCAGGAGGCGCACGGGTCGCAGCAGGCGGGTGCAGGCGGCTTGCAGCTGTCTCGGGTGGCCACGCAGGGCGTGGGTGGCGGGGGCCGTGCCACCTTCTTCGTCGAGGCCTTTTTCTGTAGGAAAGACGTCGAGGGCTGCTGAGCGGGCCACGCTGGTCCCGCGCGTCCTCTTCTGCTGTGGAGGTCTGCCACCAGGACCTCTGCCGCGGTGCCCACCTCTACTCATAACGCACAGGCCATCCTAGTGGGTCCCTGGCCGCCACCCCACCCTGCACGCCGCCTTCATCTACAAGCTCACCTAGATCCGACCTGGCCTTTTCTTAAGAGACCCCACTGTAATTTTGCTACTTTTATGAATCATAATGGAAATACCATGTTGAGAACCGCTACTCTAGATTTCTATATTTTTCATTTAAATGCACTTAGGCCTTCACCGTGCTTTAATTTCTTCACAATGTGTGTCATCTAAAAATTTAAACTTGTTTATTAATTTACTTGCGGCCTGGTTTTCCCACACAGGTGTAAGCTCCACACATCAGTAACCTCTTGTTCACTGCTGTGTTCCCAGCACCTAGCACATACATGTATTTTGTTCTGTCCTCCCTGTTCTGGTTACGGTTGATCCATTTAGCTGAGGCACAAAAACAGGAATAGTGTGTGAATTTCAACAATGCTTCAATCTGGTATTTATCAAATTGTGGGAACCTGTATCATGGCAGTATGATCTTAGGTGGGAGGTAAGAAAACGTTAAATGATCCTTAACCACTTAGTGAGAAGGCATTCTTTTTTCTGTTTTAGCTTGTGTTTGGTGATGACATGTCCTTAATTGCTTTCCAACACATTCTTTTTGTGGGGGGGCGGGGAGAGCGGTCACTGCTTTTTTGTCCTTATTTTAAATACTTAGTAAATATATTTAATGAATGCATTTGTTAGTAAACAAGCCCAATGTTTAAGAATATATATATACATATATATATATGTAATACAAGAAAGTAGACCATTTTGGGGTCTGTAGAACAGTGTTCTCCAAATTGCTTGTCTCTTCAAGCATTTTCTGTCTGACTTGCTAGACTTATCTAGACTGCTTGTTGAAAGTAACAATTACCAGTTATAATTCTAACTCTAATTTTGGTCTGGTATGGCACATGTACTTTAGGTCTAACTGCCTTTTAAAAAAGCGAGATTTAGAGCCTTTAGCAGGTAATAACATCCAGCTGATGGGAATTGAACTCAGGGCTTTGTTTGTTACAGGCAAGCTTCACTACTTCACTATATCCCCACCCCTTTGAAATGTTTATTTTTGTGACTGTTTCAGTTTGCCCAGGCAGACCTTGAATTTGCTGCATAGCTCCAGTAGCCCTTGAACTGAGGGTCCTCTCTCAGTCTCCTAAGCAGCTGGGATTAAAAGCCTGTGCTGCTAGGCTCTGCTACCAGTGTTTTATTTTCATTGAGGTTTTTACTCTAGCTACAGTGGTTGTGCAGCCCAGGGTCATTCAGAACTTGGCATGTAGTTTGGGGTGGCTGTGAACTCCTGACCTTACTGCTTCCACCTCCCAAATACTGGGAGTATAGCTGTGTGCCACCACCCCCAACTTCTAATTCCTATTCTTGACGTTTTCTGATTGTCAGACAGGTGAGACAGCTGGGCACGGTAGCCTGGACCTGTAATCTCGGCACTTGAGCTCTGGATAAGGAGGGTTGGTAGTTCACAGGCAGCCTGTACTACATAGCAAAAGCTTGCTGCAAATAATCTTGGGCTGAGAGTATGGCTCAGCGGTGGAACACTTGCCTACCTTGCACAGGCCCTACAAAGGGGGGCAGGGAAGAAACTCAGGTATAGCAAGAGTGGTTCTGCAGCAGTTGGGGTTTAGGTAAATATCCAAAAGATTGAGTGCCAGCTTTCAGGAAGGGGTGGGGATGCTTGCATTGGAAACTTTTTTTTTTTTTTTTAATCAGGTAGCTGTTTTGTTCAGTGAACTTAGGCTCCCTGGCTTCTATGGAAGTCTGCCTCAAGGCTCTAGGCCAGAAACCTTTAGGTAGTTTTCAGTCATTTCATGTAGGCTTGGAGATATCTTACATTTAGTTCTCAGCCATGGCTTGCAGATCTCCCACCCTCACTGTGAGAACCCCCAGGCCTACCTTGGACGATCTCTTCTGCTTCTCGGCTTCTTTTCTGTTGATCTTCTTGGATTTCTTGTTCAGTGCTTCAAAGAAAGACAGAACGAGCAAAGCCAGATGTTTCTGGGGGCCTGAGTTATGAAGTGGGAGGAGCAGGGGCTATGGGAAGTCTCAGAGTGGAGAGAAAAAGGGACTCCAGGATGGAACACATTATGGAAATCAAGCCAGCAGGTTCTTATTAGCCTGGCATCAGACCTAAGAGCAGGGTGCTCCGAGGGAAGGCAAAGAGGAAATCCAAGAGGGACCGGGGACCTGTCTGTGGCCTCTGTCAGAGACCTTCCTGGTCTTTTGACTGTGTGGCCCTTGATCACCATAGGTGCCCCTGTTTTAGCCTTTAACCGTGCAGGTGCAAGAGCACTATGAGTCTCTGGAAATGAACTTGGCCTTTTGTTACTGGACACATCTGTGTTACTTTTTTTTTTCTTTAATTTTCAGCTCAGGGCCAGCTATGCCTGACTTGAATCCATATAACAGCTGTGTGATCTTCTCCTGGACAATCAGTTCCCTCATTTACAAAAGGTTCTATCATGTAAAGTATATTTATAAAACAAAAAGTCTGACATGGGGCTGGAGAGATGGCTCAGCTGTTGAGAGCACTTGGTGCTCTTGCAGAGGACCCAGGTTTGTGCCCCAGCACCCACATGGTAACTCCAGTTTCAGGGGCTCTGGCATCCTCTTCTGGCCTCTGAGGGTACCAGGACTGCACACAGAGAATAGACATACATGAAGGCAGAACACCCCTTTACATAAAAGTAAAATATTTTAAAAAGTCTGAGATATCAATGGTGATTAAGGAATGTTGGTGTCTCCTCCTTTCCCTCCTTTGACTTCTCTGATATGTATAGACCAATAGTTCTCAACCTCTGGGTTGTAACCATTTTGGCAAACCTCTATCTCAAAAAATATTTTCTTTACAATTCATAACAGTAGCAAAATGACAGTTATGAAGTAGCAACACAGATAATTTTATGGTTGGGGTTACCACAACATGAAGAAGTGTATTAATAAGGGTTGCAACATTAGGAAGTTTGAGAACTGCTGCTCTAGACCATCTTTCTGTGTCCATTGAAATGCCAGTCAACACAGAGTTGTGAGCTTACATGTATAATTGGCTGCTGTTTGAATTCTGGTTCAGCCCATTAGGAACTAATGTCAGTAAGCTCCAGTTTTGTCTGTTGTAAGATAAAAATAAAACTCAAGAGCCACCTCACAGAACAAACCTTTGCGCGTTTATTTTTATTTTGGTTCCAGGAACTGGATCCGGGCATTATGCCTGCTAAGCATCCGCTCTGACTTTGTGCTTCATCCCTGGTCCAAAGTGAGAACAAACCACAAGATCCCCAATGCCAGACTTTGATGCATCCTATGGTGAGACTGGTTTATTGTAGACTTAGTTCTATTCCATGGTTTTCCTAAAGTTTGTTTTGTTGAGTTTTGTGATTCATTAAGTTTATAAATGCTAAGTTAAACTAAGCCCACCAAGCATCTTCTCGACTTGAGGCTTCTTCAGATCTATGACACACCAAAACTTGGTGGCATGCCAAGCTTTCCCAAACCCAATGACTCAAGGACTCTGTATTTCCCTAGGAATGAGCAAGAAAGAGCCATAGCTATGCTGGTGGCAGCCTGGGCAACAGGCTTGACATACTGTACCTGCTCTCATGGGTCACAGCCTAGAGGCTAGGTCCCAGGCCAGGCTACTTACCCACGATAGAAACAGAAGAGAAATCCAATGAGTTCATGGAGGAGTTGCTCCTCAGACTCCTGTCATCTCTGAGTGTCTCCTCAGGTACCATGTGGCTGTAGATGGCAAGGAAGCATAAGAAGCCCACTAGGGTGGCCAGGAGTAGGCGAGTGACATCCATCCTGAGAAGCCTAAATTGGACAGAGAAGGCGGTCCGTGGTGAGTTCAGAGAGAAGATGGTGGTAGGAGGAGGATGTGCCTTTGGGCTGGCTGGCTGACTCGGCCACACAAGTGTCTTAGCAGGGCCGGATGTCTAGAAAAACTGAGGGCAGGGGTGTTGATATAGGGAGATGACAGAAAAGGAGAGATGGGGAGAAGAGAGAAGACGAGAAAGGGAGGGAGGTTGAAGCAAAGAGAGCAAGAATGCATTGTGTTGGTTTGTGCTGTCCAGAGGGCGGAGTACTGACTCTTTCCATTTCTTTTCTTGTTCCTGTATAAGCAGTGGTCCCAGGAGACCTTAGGCCTGGGCAGAGCTGTTGAAAGTGCCCCCCCCCAGGAGTGCCTCACAGTGGCAGAAGTCTTACTAAGGTAAAGAGAGTACATGTTACGGCTCAGTGAGAGGGATAAGGGACAAAGCCTCCTGAGGGCAAGTGGCCATCATCTCATACCAGATTCCCTGCTAATCTAGAGGGAACAAACACAGATCAGACTGTGTCAGGGTATGGCAACATAAGCTAAATGGATTTCTTAATTTGCTAGTTGGAGTTTGAAGGGGCTGATGGATTTTTAGCAAGTTTCTTCCCTTGAATGCCTTCTGTCACTATGGGATCCCCACCCCTCCCTACCCAACTGCCCCGTTTCCCTCTCTTGTTTTGGAAAAGCCTAGGTCTGCATTTCCAAGGTTCCCTCCACCCAATACACAAGTGCTGTGAGAGAGAAGAGAATAACAGTTTGCTCATCCTGATCCTACCCACTGCTGGCTCCCTGTGCAGCTGTCTGGCCAGCTCCAGCCTCCTCCTCTCCACTCTCAATTTAGTTGGTGTGCTGGCTAGTTTTATATCAATGTGACACAAGTCAGAGTCATTTGGGAAGAGGGAACTTCAGTTGAGAAACTGCCCACACCAGACTGGCCTGTGGGCAGCCTGTGGTGCGATTTCTTGATTGATGATTGATGTGGGAGGGCCCAGCTCACGAGGGGGCAGCACCACCCCTGGGTTGATCGTCTTGGGTGCTGTAAGAAAGCACGCTGAGTAAGCCATGAAGAGAAAGACAGTAAGAGATATTCCTCCATGCCATCTGATCGAGTTCCTGCCTCCAGGTGCCTGCCTGACTTCCTCTGGTGATGGACTATGACCTGAAAGTTGTAACCTGGAATAAACCCTTTCCTCGCCAAGTTGCTTTTGGTCATGGTGTTCTAATGCAGCATAGAGACACTAACATGGTTGACACCAGGCTTTCTGCATGTGTGTTACATTGCAGGAGAAGACCCAATCAACTGGCCTCCACCCCTTCCGATCTTCGTGAAGTTGTAGGGGATGGTCCTGACCTTTAGAAATCCACCCACCGGTATGCCAGTTCTGATCACCGCAAGTCTTCCTTTTCATCACCGGGAACTGCCTGTCATAAACTCACCACCAAATTGCTTTCACAAAGCCTAGTTAGTTGAGAGCGGGCACTGGCCCAACCACTGTGTTTTTAGGGTTGGCTCAGCATTAAAGGAGATGTACAACTCTGGGCAAAATTGCTCTTTTTGACAGGCTTCAATTTCTCTTCTGGTAAAGTGACAGGAATGGACTATATCAGTGGTTTGCACCCATATGCAGGCTAACTCTTCAAAACAAGTGACAGAATATGTAAAACGGGGCTATGTAGCTCTGTTGGCAGAGCGCTTGCCTAGCACACACAAAGCCCTGGGTTCAATTCCTAGCCACTACATAAACCGGGGGTAGTAGTATGCAACTACATAATCTTAGCAATCAGGAGAATGAGAAATCCAGGGTCATCCTTGGCTACATAGTATGTTCAGGCTCAGTCTGGGTTGTTACTAAAACCACATCCCCTGGCTAAAAAATAAACAAGCAAACAAACAAATTGGTAACACAGAAGCCACTAGATTATGTCTCATCTGAGGACCATTTTATACCTGGACTTCCATATAAACTAATGTTTCCCTTGTTTTAAGCTAGTAGGAGTTGAGTTTTCTTCTCAACCCAAGTCTTGTGTGTGTGTGTAGGGTTGTTATTTGTTTTGGTTTTGGATTTTCTTTTTCTCAAACAAGCTTTCACTGTGTAGTCCCTGCTGACCTGGAACTCACAATGTTGTCCAGGCTGACCTTGAGCTTGTAGTAAGCATACGAACACCCAAGTGCTGGGATTACAGATATGAGCCACCATACCCAGCTTTTACCCCAAGGCACCCTCAAAAGTGCTTCCCTGTCCTCTGCAATAGGGCTTTCTCTTACAAGTGGTTTAGACCTAAAGCCAGACTTCAAGTAAAAACAAAAGTCAGAGTTCAAATTTTCTCCAACATGGCAAATAATGGCTGATATTTTCTTCTCCCTTCCCCATCTCTTCCTGTCTTTCCTCTGATACCCCCCTCAATCTTCAGCAGAATAAGATAGTCTATATTAGGCAGCCTCCAGGGCCCATACTTGAAAAAACATTCCTTTTCTTTGAATGCCATGACCACAGCTTACATAGCAGAAGACTGACAGAAAGAGATAGCATGGGAGACTGGCTGAGCAGACATGTGGCTCTTTCTTTCCCTCCCTGAATACCCTCTCCAGGTAGGACATTGAGCAGAATCATCTACACTAGCAGAAAACCTCTCTCCTGGCTTCAGCTTCCCTCACTCACAGTGCAGAGGTGGCTTTCAATATGGCAAGTGTGTGCAGAACTTGACTCTCTTGTAGGCCTTCCTCCAGGGACCACCTTCCCTAGGAAAGAATCTTGGTATCCCTCTCTCTCTCTTTCTCTCTCTCTCTCTCCCTGATCTTTCTATTTTTCTCACCAAGTTTTACTTTCTGCGCCCTTCAAGCATCCCCCCTTGTCTTTTACCCCAGCCTCACTTTCTTCCCCCCGCCCTCCACCTTCTTTCTTCCTTGAGTCGGGGCTTCTCTGTGCATCCCTGGCTGTCCTCGAACTCAGAGATGCACCTGCCCTTGCCCCTGAGTGCTGGGATTAAAGGCTCCAAAGACTCACCACCAACGGAACAAGCTTCATACTGACTCCATCCACACACACCCCCACCCCCTGCCATGTTTCTCTTGCTTATGTAGCATCTTGCTTATCTCTCATATCATCCTCTCCACTACTCCTGGTTCTGTCTCACCCTTCCTCCAGGGCCTGTTCAAAGGCTGGTTCTAAGCACGTTTTTCTTCCAGCCAGGCAGCCCAAATAATATGCTCTCCCTTTTTGAACCCCCCTTTGCTCTTCAATACCACGGACATTGTTCAGTACTTCATTGTTCTTTAATTGTTCACAGGGGCTATTCTCATCAGTTAGACACAGTTCTTTGTATAAAGTAGGTAGGACAGTGAAGCTGAAAGGATGTTGGATCTGTGGTCAGACATACGTGACTCCATCACTTACCAATTATATGAATGTAGAGGGGAAAGAGGTTCTCTCGACCCCCTCTTAGTTCTTATGTGGGCTCTTTGGCTGGATCTAGGAACCCAATTAGTATAAAAACTGATTAATAAGAGCAAAAGCATAAAGTTTTATTAAATTTACATGTATATGGGGATGTTCACAAGAGAATGAAGTCTGAAGAAATGCCCAAAGCATGGTGCTTTTATATTCTTCAGACAAAGAACAATAAATTTGTAAAGTAATGACAAGACAATTGGCTATCTGGATGAGAGAAGTAAATTATGGAACTGTTAAGAGATATATGGGGTGAGGGAAATCTAAGGCAGAGAGGATGCTGCATTTGAGAAGCTACAGGTTTGCTGAGATGGCAGGTAGACACAAGAGGATGAGACTTGCAAATGATGCTAAGCAGTTTGAGCAATATCTTCAACTGAAAATGACTGAAGAGTGTGGATGAGAAAAAGGACTTTAATCAGATCTGCAATGTAGAAAAATCGCTCTGGAGGCTGTGGGAATGGAAGGAAAAGAGAATAAGAGGAAGGAAAACAATTAGGACATTGCTTCAGGACTTGGGGCCATCTTTCTAGCCTTAGCCTTCCTGTGTTCATTTTTTTTTTTTTGACAAGGTTTCTCTGGATTTGGAGGCTGTTCTGGAACTAACTCTTATAGACCAGGTTGGCCTCGAACTCACAAAGATCCGCCTGCCTCTGCCTCCCAAGTGCTGGGACTAAAAGCGTGCACCACCACCACCCGGCCTCTGTTCATTTTTTACGTGCACCCACCCATACATTCACTGAAACTGAGTGAGTATGCAGAAGTATACATTCCAGTCAAGCTTAGCTGCTTCCTGGCCCCTGTATGAAAGCCATTCTTCCCACTTTTTTCTTTTAAACTTGTTTTTTTACTCCCTTTTTTTGAGACAGGGTCTCATACTTAGTTAAGAGCATCATATTCGTTCTATGGGTATGTATTAAATTATGGCATAATTAATTGATGTTTTGGGTAAAGATATTGATGACCCTTACTAATTAAAAAGCAGATGTGATAACCCGGTGGTGGTGAATGCCTCTAATCTCAGCACTTGGGAGGCAGAGGCAGGTGGATCTCTGTGAGTTCAAGGCCAGCCTGAACTACAGATCAAGTTTCAGGATAGCCAGGGCTGTTACACAGAGAAACCCTGTCCCCCCAAAACAAAAAACAAAACAAACAAACAAGCAGATGCAGTGCTGGGGATGTGGGCCAGTGGATAAAAGCACTTGTCATGAAAGCCTGACAAACTGAGTTTGGGTCTCCAGAAATCATGTGAAAGTGAGACACAGAAACATAAGTGTCTGTGATCCTAGCCTACCACTGTGGAGAGATGGGAGGCAGGAGAATCCCCAGACGCTCCCAGGCCAGCTAGCCTAGCATACTCCGTGGTGAGAAGCCCTGTCTTAAACAGGGTCGAAAGGTACATATGTTGTAACTTGTGTCCCTGTACAAGCCACTGCCATGCAAGCATACACATGTGCTCAACCCCTGCCCAACACACACTAAAAGGCAGATGTGTGTGGGGAGGTGTAACTTAGTTAGGAGAGTGCTTGCCTAACAAACAGCTTGGATTTCCCCACCTCCCACTGCACAAATGTGCACACTTATAATATCAGCACTCAGGATGTGGAGGCAGGAGGATTAGAAGGTCTAGATCTTTCTCTGAAACATTTTGAGTTCAAAGCCAGTCTAGGATACATGACACCCTGTCTCAAAAAATAAATAAAGAGGACCTGGATAAAGGAGCTTATTTTGCAAGTCTAGAGGCCAGAACTTGATCCCCAGAGTTTACATAAAAGTGGGAGGAGAGAACTGACACCAAAGAGAAATTGACCTCCATACTTGTGCTGTGGCACAGACAGCTCACCCAGTAATAATAATAAAATGACATCTAAACATAAATAAGCAAGGAGCTGGGGAGTGGGTAAAGTGCTTGCTCTGCAAGCATGAGGACCTGAGGTTCAGTCCTCATCACCCCCTTAAGACCTGGGGGAGCCTGCCTGTAAGCCTGAGGTGAAGCATTGGGGTCCAGACAGATGGCAAGCACCAGGTGAAGTGAGAACCACTAAGGTAGAATCTGCATGTAGTAGGAAACACCTGCAATTTCAGCACTTGGGAGGCAGAAGGAGGTAGATCTGTGAGTCTGAGGTCAGCCTGTCTACTTAGTGAGTCCCAGGCCAGCCAGCGCTACACATGAGACCCTGTCAAACAAAACAAAACAAAACAAAACTATCTTCACCAACAGTAATGATAACACAGACAGCAGTAGAAAAAGACAACTAATACCAACCTCTGGCACCACACACACAAAAATAAACAAAAATAAATAAGGCAGATGTGATCTTAGAAAGGTGACTTGTGCTATTATGCACCAGTAATATTTCTCATTAATGTATCAGACTTCAGATGAGTGCAGGGTTGGGTTCTAATGAGATGCACATCAGGACCGGTGAGTGTGGATTGTTAGGATAAACTAAATCTGCATCATGAATACTTGGCATAATGCTCCGAAGCTTTCAGTTAGCCCATGCTGCATAGAATTATAAAGATTTAGCCTAACAAAGTTTAGACTACATATAAAATCTAACTATCAGAAAATATTTTTAATTAGTTGCATGCGGTTAAATGTGTATTTTAAATTTTATTCTGTAGCTCCAGTCTCTTCCAAAAACTAGTTTATGTTTAACTTGGGCCTCTAAGTGTGCCAATGAGACACCTCCACCCCCATCCATGGTGCAGCCAAAGTGCATGTTTATGACTTACTCTGAACAGCTTGTAATGCAGAAAGATCTTTGTCATCAGAGTGGTCACAGACACTGCACAATGGGCTAACGGTACTTCCGTTTCTCAGAGGATTTCATCATACATGGTGCCTTCCCTTTGAGGACAAGGGTTTGCCCTCTCTGACAATAAACCCGATTTTTGGACCTAGATAATGATTTGCAGACTACTCTGGTAAAAATAGCAGTGCTTTTGCTTAAAAAGAAAAAAAAAAAAAACAAACGAGGTGTGGCCTAAATCATGGGGTTTTTAATTGTAGAAATAACATAATTTGTAGCTGATGAAACCAAAATTGTGACAGTCAAGTTGAGTGCTTTCCCCCTAAGCTATAAAGCTTGAGAGGCCATAAATTTGCTGTAATGTTGCAAGTTGCTTAAAATATCTTTGGATTTCAGACATATCTTCAGAGGCAACTTAATAGTTATACAAGAAAAAGCATCATATAAACCAGGAGTGATGAGTCAAGCCTGTGATCCCAGCAAGGGCTGTGTTGTGTTGGTTAGAGGATTGATTTGACTTTGAGGTCAGCCTAGGCTATACAGCAGTGTCAGAGCTGAATAAGGAGACTCTGTCTTGTGGTCTGGGGAGATGGCTCAGTGGTAAAGTGCCTGATGTGCAAATGTGAGGCCTTGAGTTTGGAGCCCCACACCCAGCCTGTGCCTGTAATCTCAGTGCTGGGGAGATAAAGATAGCTGGATCCCTTGGGCTTGCTAGCCAGTTAGTCTAGTGGAATCAGAGAGCTCTGGATTCAGTGAGAAAGCCTGTCTTAAAGAAAAAAAAATTAAGGTAGACAATGATAGAGGAAGAAACCAGACATTGACTTCTAGCCTCCACATGTACCGGCACACATGTGCACCCACGTGTACACACACACACACACACACACACACACACACACACACACACACACACACACACGAGAGCCTAAATTGAACCATTATGACACTAATAATTTAAAGCTACAGAGATCATACACTCCTGAAGAACTATGCAGTATTATCACAAGGGAAAGACCTGAGATAATCATTGCAAATACAGATGAATAAGCTTGAAAGAATTAGAAACTATCCAGTGTGGAAGACAAAGATGATTCAGTGTGAAGTTAATTAGCATCTGTGGATTGGAGAACACAACAAATGAAAAGATGATGTAACCAAAGCAAAATGAAGCATGCTTACCCTACCTGTAAGGCAAGGGATTGTGATTTCATGTTGCTTACCCTTAAGTGGGCTCCAGCCTGCCCAGGTAGAGAAGAAATTGTGGAGGGGAGAAAAAAAATCGAGATCAGTCAGCATTGGTTAGAATAAGTTGTCAGATGTGAGGTAATGTTTTATTGTAAGGTTACACTCTACAATCATTGCTGGGCAGTAGGGACAAGCTGGGGGCAGAGCTCTGCAATTCTGCTTTAGTAGCTTCCAGTTTACCAATGAGACTCTCTTTAACTTGTCTAGGATGTCATGGCTATTCTGTCTCTATTTCTCAGTTCTACCTTTCCCCTGGGGAGCCTCCTCAAGTCCTCTAGCCCACCTCTGGGCTAGAGCTGACAGGAAAAAATTAAGATCTTCCCTGAGATCCCAGTGGAATACCAGGCCCAAGTATGTGGTTTGAATCCTGCTACTTTGTGAGTCAAGCTACAGTAGTCCAAGTTCATTCTAGATAAAGTCCTCACCAGACAACACCCTCCCACTGAGCTATGTCCCCAGAGTAAAATGGAATTTCAGGCCATCCATCCCACCTCAAAATAGCCACCTTTATTTACGCAGTTACCACATCATGTCTTAGAGGTCACTAAAGTAATAGAACAAATGACCTCAGACACGGTTAAGCTGGTAGCAATTTGTGTCACTTGATTACTTTCCCCTTTTCCCAAGAGCAGCATTCTGAGGAAATGGTGTCAGGAGGACAAATTCTGCAGAGGTTGGGAGAGGAACATTTAAAGGAAGAAAGGACTGACAAAAAGGAGAAGCCCTGGCTGTAAATTTTGCTCACTTTTCAAGACTAACTCCTTTAGAGTGGGTCTGCAGAGAGGCAGCTCAAAGCACTGAGCCCAGTATGCTGAGGGAGTTTTAAAACCAGCCTAAGCCATGACTGATGGGGAACATTAGAAAGTCAAGGCCCACTAAGCATGAAGAATTTGTCAACCTCTGAGCTTGTGGATTTGCTGTCATTGGTTAGCCCAATCCTAGAAGGTGCTGCTGAGCCACTAACCAAAAACTTACAACTACCCTAGGTTGAGCCACCCTTGCTGTTGCTTGGGCAAATGAATGCCACTTCAACCACCCTCCATTCTGTCTTGTCCTGTCCATTCATATAGTGGGTTTTTTTTTTCCTGAAACAGTTCAAATCATATTACTTTCTGCTTACAAACCTTTAGACTTCTCATTGTTTTTGTGGGTTTTGTTTGTTTTTTATTTTTGTTTGTTTCTTCGTTTTTCAAGACAGGGTTTCCCTGTGTAGCTCTGGCTGTCCTGGAACTCACTCTGTAGACCTCCGTAGACCTCAAACTCACAGAGATCTGCCTGCCTCTGCCTCCTGAGTGCTAGAACTAAAGGCCTATGCCCAGGTGTTTTTGATTTTTTGAGTGTCTCATGTATCTCAGGCTGGCCTCAAAATCATTCCTTAGCAACTAGGGTTGAACTCTTGATCTTCTTGTTTCCCTTCCTGAGTGCTGGGGTTGCAAGCACCACACCCAACTAGTTTGCCACTGTTCCTGAAGGAAAATTCACATCACCTATAAGATCTTGTTATTTTCTTTGAGTTCACTTGGTGCTTTCTTTTGGTGGGATATGCCAAACTCCTCAAAGCTATTCCCTTGACTCTTAATGTTGCACACCTGCATGCAATTCCAGCACCTGGGAGGCAAGGCAAGAGGCTCACAAGTTTGAAGCCATTATGAGCTACAGTCTCAAATAAGACATATGAACAAAGAACAGTCTCCCACAACAAAACAAAGCAAGCTGCCAAAGAACCCTCTGTAATCCCAGGATTCAGCATGTGAAGGCTGTATATAGTTCAAAGCCATCCTTGGCTGCATGACACTGTCTCAAAGACAAGAACAAGAACAACCAAAAACCTCCATGGACTGTAGTTTGCTGTCCTGGCCAAGTCTAACTTGTTATGGAAGAAATTAAAACAAAACAAAACCGGAACAGCTGTTCTGGTCCTAAGGCCTGGATTTAGGATTCCTTCAGCTCCATTCACACAGTAGATGACTGAAGAGAAGCCAGCAAATTAACTCTAGTTCCATTTTTGTTGACTAAGGCTGCCAGTGGGGCTGTCAGGGATGGGGCTCTGCTTCTGGGAAGCAAGCTTCCCTGGCTAGACTGAGTCAGAAATAAGTCTGCCTATTGAGAGGCCAAATTTGGAGTCTGCCAATTCTCACTCTTCACAAGGAGAGAGTCTGGGAAAAAGGGAAAAAGGAAGGGGTTGGCTGAAGGAAGCAGAGACCTCTCCCTCTTTTGTAGCTGAGCTGGTACAGTAGAGTGGGAAGGAAAACAAGACTTTCTCCCTGATCAAACTTCAGTTAGGTTCCTCTGAAACCATTCTCAGCTAGGCTTTGATCTTGCCCTCTGGTCCAGTTTTAGCAACAGTCCTGCTAAGTCAATTTAGCAACTTTCACTGTCCAATATCTAAGTTCCTAAGCCCCTTTGACCTGCCTGTAGCAAATACTCCATTATGATCACATGAATCCCCTTATAATTGGTGTTTCCATTAAGGCAGTGGTTCTCAACACTGTGATCCTTTAATACAGTTCTTTATGTTGTGATGGTCCCCCAAACATAAAATTATTTTTGTTGCTACTTCATAACCATAATTTTGCTACTTTTATGAATAGTAATACAAATATCTGTTTTCTGATGGCCTTAGTTGACCCTGGTGAAAGGGTCACTTGACCTCCAAAGGGGCGTGACCCACCGGTTGAGAACCACTGCTCTAAGCCTTTTTTTCCCCTACCCATCTCATCATCATCCTTACTCTGCTCTCTTCAATTGCCTTTGCTGTGTTCAGAGTCTTCTATAGCAGTACTTTTTTTGTTAGTACTGGGGATACACCAGGCAAGCACTCTATTACCACATAACATTCCCCAGATCTCTTTTTTTTTTTTTTTCTTATTTTAGGACAGGGTTTTACTTAGTTGCCTAGGCAGTACTTGAACTCAATCTGTAGCCCAGGCTGACCTTGAACTTGTGAACCTCTTATCTTACCTTCTGGAATATCTAGAATTATAGGCCTTAGTCATCGGGTCCAGACTGAAATACTATTGGATAAACTCTTTCTTACCATTTAAGTAAAAACTTAATTTTTTTCTTTAACAACATTAAAATTATTTGTGGTCTCTTGAGCAGTATCTCTATGTCCAGATTAAATTGTGACTAATCATTGTGCCTAGCAGACGCCAAAAGGAGTGATATGCTGATGGGTGATATGATTATTGGAGAATACAGACTAATAGGCCCTAATCAGAGAGGGCCTCTAGCAGGATGGAAATGCATACAACTCCCTGCTGCCTGGGAGTCAAAGGCAGCTTGACATGGGTCACATGTTAACCAAGCCCCACACTGCTACCCAGAGAAAGAGTGACTCCTGTCATAGCCTAAGTCACATCTGGACCTCGTCCCTATTTCTACCACGTGACATAAGTCACATTAACTCAGCCTGCTTCCCCAAATGCAAGATCTTGATTATCTCAGAAACCTCTAAGAGAAGATGCCTTGTCAAGTGATGAGTGACACCTTTACACCTGGAGGCGGAGGCAGAAGGATCTCTGTGAGTTGAAGGTCCATATAGTGAGTTCCAGGCCAGTCAGGGCTACACAGGGGTCCCTGTCTCAACAAATAAACAAACACCACATATACACACACACAAAGAGTAGACACCTTGCTTTGGCTGGCCTTAGACTCAGAGAGATCCAGCTGCCTCTGCCTCCCAAGTGCTTGGATTAAAGGCGTGCACCACCACTGCCAAGCAACATTGAAGATTCTTATTTCAGACCCTGTTATACTAACAGCTTCAACATTAGTAAGTCTATTGCCTGAAGACAACTCGGCTGAGTACCACTCTTTTTTTTTTTAATTTTTTAAAAAGATTTATTTATTTATTTATTCTGTGTATACAGTGCTCTATCTACATGCATACATTTATACCAGCAGAGGACACCAGATCTCATTACAGATGGTTGTGAGCCACCATGTGGTTGCTGGGAATTGAACTCAAGATCTCTGGAAGAGCAGCCAGTGCTCTTAACCTCTGAGCTATCTGTCCAGCCCCGTACCTCTCTTTTGAATTCTTGCTCCTCTTCCTGCTCAAAACCTGATAGTGAGGTTGTAAAACCTACATTGGATACCTACATAAACCTCTGGTCTCAGTGCTAGCTGGTCAGGGAAGAACCAAGGCAGGAGTCTATTTGTTGAATTCTTTGGCACTATGCCCTCCATCCTCCAGGGAAGGGAGGCTAAAGGAGGAGCTGGCCAATTAGTTAATCACTCATTCTGATGTATTGAAAGCTCCCAAGGCAGGGTGCAGAGAACTGTCCAGCTGATCACATGGAGATTCCCAGACGGTAGCTGTGTCCCCTCTGCCCCTAAGCCTTGCCCCAGGCATCTCTTCATAGTCTGCCCACCAGTATCCTGTATGATAAACTGCAATATACCTTAATAACACCCCTGAGTTCTGAGGAGAGGGTTGTGAAAATCCCAACTCATCAATGGATGGTTAGAAGCCGGGCAAAACACTCTGAGATGTAGGTATGACATCTGGACATGCCCTTAATGTGGAACCTGGCACTGTCTGAGTTAAAGGATACCCAGTTGGCATCTGCTTTCGAATTGTAAGCATGCTTGGTATTTGCAGAGACCAGCACCCACATCTGTCACTCAAGTCTTCTGTTGGTTTTTGAGCATGTGAACAGGAGAAAATGAGTCTGTGGTTATTTTATCCTATGTCCTCAGGTGGTTTGGATTCAGAATTCACCTGAGGCCCAAGTATGGCTTAAAGGCACCTGAGTTCAAAGTGCAAGGAAGGTTTGAAATGATGCCTGTTGCCCAGGCAGCTGCTTGTTAGTGTGGGCTGCCTCCCAGGTCCCAGGCGCTCATTCCTATGGTACAGTGAATATACTACAGGTAGGAGCTGATGGAATGACCACACTCCAACACTCCAGACACTACTCCCTTCCATCTGCTTACCTAACATCTTTTGAAACCAGTTCCCACTTCTGTTTCCCAGGAGACATGCTATCTCCTGATTTTCTGAATTCCATTTATTTGTTTAATTGTTTGAGATCGTCTCAAAGCCAAGGATAACTTTGAACTTCTGATCCTCCTGCCTCTCCCTTCCAAGTGTTGGGGTTATGGGCATGTACCCTATATCCAGTTTTATTTGTTTGTTTGAGACAGGGGCTCACTATGCAGCCTTGGCTGGCCTGGAACTCACTATGTAGACTAGGTCAGCCTTGAACTCACAGAGATCTACCTGACTCCGCCTCCTGAGTGCTGAGATTAAAGACATGTACCACTATGCCCGGCACCATGTCCAGTTTTATGTAGAGCTAGGGACCAAACCCAGGGTTTCATGCATGTTAGCAAAACACTCTATCAACTGAAATACATCACAGCCTCTCTGAATTCCGTGTACTTGGAGTGTTGTTCCTCAGTGTGGCCGAAGGAAGATGAGTCACTCTTCTCAGCTCCCCAGGCTTTACAGCAAAAGGAGGGGAGGACGCTTTCATGTCAGATGCAGCAGCTTCCTGCCAGAAAGAATCAATCAAGTCATAGCCTGGGAAAATCCAGCTGAGCAAGCCTTCAGAATACCCATGAGACAACTGGATGAAGCAGAAGGGTCCCAAAGCACTGTAAAGTGCTTTCGGGAGTGGGCCGAGATTCTCTTGATCCTTTAAGGCCTTCCTCAAACAAAGAAAAAGTGTGCCATCCATTTAGCCTCCTACAGCCTCTCCACAGGAAGCATCAGAACAAATATCCAATGTCAGTGAAACATAGCACTCATCCACAATTGCAGATATCACCCAAGCATCCATCTAGTGGACATTTAGGCTAACTGGGTATCGACTCTAAAACACTCAGCACACATAAAGGAAAAGGAAGGTTGGAATAAACGGCATGTTGGTTCCTGGGTTTGACTCTAGTGAATACAGAGTGAAGTGATTTACACACAGATGGATTCCCAAACTCTCAATTTTGCACTGTATGAGTGGGTTGAACTCAGATCCCACAAGCCATTCTCTGAAGAAAATCTAAAGCATTCACATGTCAAAAGTTGACAAAGGTCAAAGCTGACACTTTGGAGTACTTCTTAGAATAAATTGCTTTTTATGTTTTTACCGGCTAGGGGATGGCAAAAGCAGGGTAAAGAGAACTGGGGACAATACAAGGCTAGTCAACAAAAAGCTGCTTTGCATCTTTTATGTTAATATCTTGACAGCTCTGACCTTCACCTCTGAATCAAATAGATTTGTTTAACTTTCCAAGAAATGGGTGGCCAACTAGG